TTTTTCTTTTTTCTAAAGTTATCTGGGACTTTCTAATGTTTACACATCCGTCTCTGCCCCTGAGTTCATCCTGTCTCACCTCATCAGACCTTCTAATTGTCTCACCTGTGCTGTGATGCGGGAGCGTCCCGTTGGCTGTCGGTTGGATCACGATGCATTCTGACTGGTTTTCCGACTTGTTTTCGCCGCCTTCAGTGGCGTTAGATGCAGTAGAATGTGATGTCACATCCATCCTGTCAGAGAAAATAAAGCATAGAGAATAATTGTGACTAATTTGATCAGGGAGAATTTCATTAACAGCACTGAACAGAAATTTAGACACAGATAACTGAATGTGGAAGCATTTAAATACAGATTTGAACTGGATTTTGCTCCTCATTTCGACTCAACTGAGTCTTTAAAACTCTGCTGCCAATTAATTTCATTTAAATAAATAAAATCTGAGAAAAGTTCCCAAAGTTCCACTTAGACGATTTTTTTGTACAATAATATTTATTGAGGTCACGGAAATGTTTACATCCATACTAGGGACGTATTCAGAGTTACAGGGAGTGAAAGTATCTGTAAGGAAAGGGAAACTTTAAAAGCTTATTAATTTGTGTTATTCTTCCTGGTTGACTTTCATTTTTAAGCACATGAGGGACGACGCCGGCATAAAAGAGCCGGGAAGAAGGAGACGTTTCGTTTGCTACGGCTTATTTTTGGTGAGACAGGCCTTTAAAATGTACCCAGAACGCACTTTTAGAGATTTTCCCCAATGAATTATCAGCAAAACAACTATCAAACATCCAGGGTAGAATTTCTTGTTAGCATACTTGTTTTGTCTAATTATTTTTAATTTAGTTAAGTTTCAGTTAGTTCAAACATTTTTCAGGTCTAACATTGAAAATATTAGTTGTTAGTTTAGTTTCAGTTAAACTATAATAACTGTTGTGTGTTCCTCCATGTCACAGACATTAAACTGTTTTTTCTGGTGAAACTATGATTAGTTCCTTGATACTGGTGCTCAAAAACAGATCTTGAGAGCTAAAAAAATCTCTGTGTACTTTCATGGCCTATATTGCAAATTTTTAAAAAAATATTGTGACGAACTCAACAAGAAAAACAAAATGTGACACAGAGATTTCAGTCTGCATTTCAAACTCCTGTGTTTTCTACTCTACTCAACCTCCAAGATTGCAGGTGTGTTAGCAGTAAC